ACTTAATAAGAAAAAAACCAGATGTGATAGCCTTAATATATATGGAACTTTTGAAAATAAATAAAGGCACACATCTCCAATGGTGAAATAGGCAAAGGTGGACAGTTCACAAAAGGAGACACCATACACATATGGCCCATAGGAATATCAGAAATGTAAAGCATGACATGTGTGTCAAAACAACACAGTCAGTAGCGAAGATCAAACTGGCAAAAATCAAAAAAAGAAGTCTTGCTAAAAATTTAAATTGAATCTGTTCAAGCTTCTGAATCAACTAACAATTTATAGGAAATGCAGAGGCCACAGAAGCAGGTAAAACATTACAGAGATGCAATTGGCAAGATTTCAAATTACAAAAGAATTTCTGAAAGAATACACCGCTAAGTGAAAAAAAGAGATGCAGGGAAATCCCTTCATCGAGAGACATAGGAACATATTGATTAGTCACAATATGTGGACCATCACTGGATCTCAATTTAAACAAGTGAAAAGCAAAACAAAACAAAACAATCACTTAGGAAATTTATTGAGCATGTAGAAGGGCTGGACACGTCACTATACAGGGAATCACTGTAAAGCTTTCTGTGATGGGGACAACATCAGTTGTGCTTCTTAAATGTCTCTTGGAAAAAAACATTAAAATGGTCATGGATGAAATAATGTTATGCCCGGTATTTGCTTTTAATGCAGAGAGGGGTCATGGATGAGGACTGGTTGAATAGGACTGGTCATGAGCTGGATGAGAACTAAAGTTACTTTCAGGTATATCAAAATGCTCTGAATTTACAAAGAACATAAAACAAAAAAATTCTGCTCAATGATGGTGAAGGTGCATGGATTCTTGGTACCTTTCCAAGGGCCAAAAATCAGAATGTACCCTCAGGCAATTCAACTTCTGGAACTCACAAAAATGTATTTAAGTATATCTAAGCGATTTTTGTAATAGCAAGTAAACACATAAATAAATAAACAAATACAACCCTAAATGCTCATTACAAAGGGACTAGGAAAATGAACTTCAGTTTCCATTCAGTGCAATACTATGTGACCATTTAAAATGATAACCTAATACATACTTACTGACATAAAACAGATATATGATAATAATAAAGTCTATGCTGATGGGTGTATACATTCAGACAGAACACTTTTATAAGTATACAAGAGATGATCTACAAATATGGTGAATGTTTACATTTTTAAAATTTATTACAGTAAAAGACATACTGACATTAATCCCCCTAAAAATACTCCCCCTGGCTTTGAACACACTTATTATTTCATTGTTCTTGCCAATTTCTGAAGTAGTCCTGGAAGTCCTCTTTCATGTCTTTAGTTACACTGTTTTGGCTGCTTTGATGTCCTGAATCCATATAAAACATTTACCTTTCATGGTCATTTTGACTTTGGGGAAAAGCCAGAAGTTACATGTTGCTGGTGGTTGAGGACACACCGTAAAGTTTGTATTGGACAGAAATTGCTACAAACACAGTGACAGGTGATCAAAAAACACAGTGAATGTTTAAATTTAAAATTTTATTACAGTAAAAGACACACTGCAATAAAATTTAAAATTTTATTACAGTAAAAGACACACTGCCACTAATCTCCCTCAAAATACTTCCTCTAGCATCAAACACACTCACCCCTATTGTTCTTGACAATGTGTCTTTTACTGTTATAAACTTAAAAAATAAACACTCACAATAATTGTGAGCACCCCATTACACATCTAAATGTTAACATTAGTTAGTCTTGAGTAACGGATTACGGATAAACTGTTATGTCTTGTGTCTACAAGTGGCTCCCCCAAAGCTTCATGCGGTCTTAGGTGGGGCTTTTCAGGAGTAGATGAATCTAGAGTGTGTGATGCTGGGATCAAGGAGGTGCAGTTACTGAATTATTCCATTGACTGGTTTAGCATAATTCTGGATAGGATGAAGGGTGTCCCACCCTAGGGGTGAGTACCTGCCCTAGGATAGCCTGGGTAAAACATAAGAGACACAAAGAGGGCTAGTGTTGTTGCTTGTCAATTGCTGTTGCTTGCCATGAATTATTTCTTCTCTGTGATGCCTCTCTGCCACGCCATCCTGAATTGCAACCTCTACAAACTGTGAGCCAAATAAACCTTTCCTCCTTTAACTTTGGGTGTTGGATATTTAGTCTCAGCAACAAAACAGTGATGTATTTTTCATTTTTACTCGTCTTCCATTTTAAATTTTTTCTTTAATAAACATCAATTTTCAAAATATATTTTAACGTTTTAAAACAAATTTAGAAATAAACTATTTTAAAAGGAGGCAAAATATTTTGAATGATGTTAATATATCTTTTTGTTAACAATTTAACAGGCTTTTAAATTTTCTGAAAAAACTTCTTGGCTTAGAAACTGCTTAAATACTTAATTTTGTGAAATCAGTAAAAGGTATGTATACTTCAATATTCTGTGTCCCTGCCCAAAGACACAATGACTTAGAAATTTGAAATTTATGTAATAGATATGTATGTGCCATAATGCCTAGTCTGTTTCCTCGGGGTATAAGAATATATCATCTTTTTTTCCTCTTTTGACAAGAAAACAAAAAGGAAGCACTTTAAAGGAATAATTCCATTTCGTGCTCATCATGGGGTATGCCAAAGCCCAGTTTAGCAAAATCTGAGGGTTTCGCCAGCGAGCTACTCAGTTTCAACACCTGTGGTGCTAAGTCAATCCGGCAGGAGAGCTGGGCCTGCAGAGGACAGCTGACCTGGCCCTGCCAGCAGGTGCACCCACTTGGCCTTCACCAGCTCCCTGCCTGCTACACACAGCCTGCTCAGAGTGGGCACACTCAAGGCTGCCCAAGAAGGGCCATCCCAATGACTTTTTTAAAAAATTGAGTTTATTGGTACAATCTAGGTATATAGTACAGTTACATTCATTATTGGGATCCTGTACCTTTACATGATAGGTCTTGATTCTCATTTTTTTCCCCTTGTCCCTGCCCTCCCTTCACCCCCTCCTCCCTTCCCATTTACAAACACTTTATTTCCATTTTTCCATTTTCTCATATTTTTTCCTCTCCCTTATTACCTTTCCCCCACCCTTCCCACTTTCCCTACACCTTTAGCCCTTTACTTCCTATTTCACATTATTAATTATCTCATTAGGATCTTGTGTACTATTATAGTTTTTCACACCAGAGAAACTATTTGGTATTTCAGTTAAAGAAATCTCTGTATGAACATTAAAAATAGGGAATCCTAAAATAAAACTAAAAAGGAAAGTAAAAGAGAAAAGGCAATGATGTAAAATTAAAATAATCCTTAATTCTGAAGATGAAACTGGTTCTTGAACATATTTAAGTTGCTTCTTGCTCTTGTAGTCGTATATTATTTTTTTTATTAGAGAATATTTTATTAGCTTCTGCTATTGATGCATAACATACTGCTATTACTGTTTTTATATAAATATATATAAATACATATATATACATACACACACACATATATATATAATTTGAATTTTTGGAAACTTCAACTGTGCTGTCGACTTTGGAAGATGTTATCCCAATTTACTGTGTTGAGTTGGCATTGTACAGTAATTAACAGCCATAATGGTCTAGAAATGTTAATTGTTTTCCTATTTCTACAGCGGTAATGCACTGAATTAAATATGTAAGGTCATATCTACATGGGTTTGATTACAGAAACCCAATGACTTTTTTATGATATGGGAGGACCCTGGTTAGCACCAAGAAAGAGTAGGTGTCTGGAGGACCACGAGCAGCAGGCCACCAGTGGTCATCTGGATGAATAAGCTTGTGTTCCTTCTTGTTTTTTCCATGTTCTTCTACAGTGAACAAGTATTACTTTTATAATCATTAAAAGATTGCTAATACCATTCCTAACAAAATGTTCATATTCTTCATACCTTCTCAGCTGTTGGGCCTGAAGGAGAGGGACTGGGGTGAAAGGGAGGAGCAGAGGCTGTGCTTGTGGCTACGGATGATTCTGGAACTGAGGAGGTGGGGAGAGAGGTGGCAGTGGAGCCAGGAAGGCTCCTGTGATAGCCAGGAAGGGAGAATGGGCAAGAGTGGGGGTGCCTGTCCTCTGTACCAGGAAATGGTATTGTTCTGCTAGTAAATGGCAGAGGGGAGAGGCAGATGAGCAAGGTAGCAAAGCCCTGTACTTACAGCTACTTCCTGGTATGGCTTGTATCTAGATGTCCCCCCAAAGCCTCGAGCGATCATAAGCGGGGAGTTTCGAAGGTGTCTGGATTCGGGTATGTGAATGTGGATTAATGGTGTAATACTGGGTGTGGATAATGGAAGTCTCACCCTGAGTATGGGTCACATCAATCAACAGGCTCGTAACCTGTATGGAATATAAAGGATCAGAGAGAAGGCAGACTGCTGCTGCTGCTCCTTGCTACTTCGCTGTCTCCTGCTTGCTTGGCATGGAGTTTCTACTCTGAGATACACCTGTGCCATGTTGCCCTGCTTTGGAACTAGTCAACTGTGGACTGAAACCTCTACAAACTGTGAGCTAAAATAAACCTTTCTCCTTTAACTTTGGATGTCAGGTGTTTTGTCTCAGCAATAAGTAAATAAAGTCAAATCACTGTCTGAGATCTGCCTCCTGTCAGATCAGTGGTTGTATTAGATTCTTATTGAACTCAAACCCAACTGTGAGCCTGGCTGCATTTGAGGGATCTAGTTTGAGTGCTGCTTTGAATCATCCAGAAATTATATGCCCCCCTAATCACTACCACCCTCTCTACCCCAATCCCAAATTGCAGAAAGCTTGTCTTCCATGAAATTGGTCCCTGGTGCCAAAAAGGCCTAGTGACTGCTTGGCCTTGGTCTATGACCAAGCTGCTAGGCTGTGCCATGGTCTAGAGTAGCATGGCCATGTGTGGATCCTTGCTGGATAAGAAGGTGAGACAAAGAGTGGGTGCTGAGATGTGCAGTCCCAGGAAAGATGGGTGGCAAGTCTGGGATGTCAGAGCTATTTATGATCTATTTATGACTAAAAACTCTGAGAAAATGCTGATGCCATGTCTTTGAAGTGGCTGTGACAAGCTTTCTCCATTCAGTATTCTCTCAATAATCTAAGAACTCTGGGCATTTGTGGTAAAACTCTTAGTCCTCAAATCCTGGCTAGCTTCAACTTGGCCTTTTGGTCATGCTTACTCTGTAGTCATCTTTTGTGACCTTCTGCCTTTCCAGGATAGGCGGCCTGCTCTAGATCTGGAGGGAAGGTGCAGTGAGGAAAAGAGGCTACCACTGAGGATCAACACTCCTGTGGGTGTGCTCATCACCAACGCTGGTGACAGTTCCTCCTCTTTGAGGAGGCTCAAAGAAGATAGCTGAGTCACCAGTGTCACGTCTGGTGTGAGACGTCTGGTGGTAACAACAATGAACCTCAGTCTGCTTGATTCAAATGTGGGGCATTTTCCATGGGCTAAGATTGTGCCCAGGGGATTGCTCAATGCCCTCTGGATGATTTGTGTGCTGCTGAGATTACCAAAATACCCAGCCATACATACATGGACATCACCTCTATTCACAAAATTGAGGAAAGGATTTATACACAAAAAAGGTTTTTTCGCTTAACAAATAAGGTGTATATCTCATTTTGAAAAGAAAACTACAGCTTTCTTAAGGTTATATATCCCAATACTTTCTCACTTTTGAAGCTTGATTTTTTGAGCATGGGTTAGCACTCTCTATGCTAGTCACAGAGCTGGAATCTCATTTGGGGTTAATAGTAGTGTACAGTGATTCTGGTTAATCCCGTCACAGGAGTATTATGTTAGTTTCCTTCCAACATCATGTCTTTATCTGCCCATCTTCCCAGTATGGAGCTACCCCACATCTCTGTACCATGATCATTTATGGATCTTGTGGCTTTTCCAAATGTCAGTACTGAAGACATCCACAGCAGGGAACATGGCCCCTATGAGTAACATGATGTAAACAGCGTACAGAGGAGACTCGGGTCCTCCTCTAGAACTTGAGATCAATTCAATGGCACCATGATTTCTTTAGAACTTTGTCTATTATAAAACATGAGATCTTGGGAAGTTTTCAAATGCAAGGAAAAATAACACCAGTTTCCACAGTTACACAAAACACTGAAAACCCAAGAGAAAATGAGCAATTTCCATTTAATATAAAAGGGGTCCTGTCCTTGGTAACTTCAGTTGGAGAATGACACAGAACAGATTGGATACTAATGTTTAATAAAATTCACTTTAAGAACATTTTATAATATAAAAATAACTCTTTTAATTAAAAAGAGTACATGAGCAGTCCTGGATACACCCATAAAGCATTATGAAAATAGAAAAGCAGGGCAACATCTGGATATGATTCCATAAGCCACAGGGTTCCCAAACCTCATAGAAAGTTTGATACGAATTTTTTTTAACTTTCAAATAATGCAGCTGGTCTCTCTCTTAGGCAAGACACATCTGAATGGAGGCCGTAGTGAATCATAACAACTTAGGGGCCCTTCGAAAGTGACATGGACTCTCCTGGTTCTCATGCAGAGGATGGTGTATCACCAGAATGAGAGGACAATCTCGCAGCAAACAGCACCAGGCTGCTATTTGAACAGGTGGGTACCAAAACCATCTGTAAAGGATTTACATTTGCAGTCACGCTGAGGATTCAAAATCAAACTGGAATCTTTACCTTTGCCCATTTCCATCTTCTAACGATTCTCAGTATGGTTAAAATGTCCCTACAAAAATAAAAGAGTACATTGTGGCAATTAATTTACCTTGGCCAAATTAACACACCGTGAACATACTTTGTTCACAAAACACTGCATTTAAAATGGCATTTGTAAATAATGTGTTAATTTCTGAGGTGAATAAATATTTCTAGTTATATTACTAAACAGCACACCGTAATTACAATATTTAAAGCATTTCCTGGCTTTAATAATGCCTGGCACACAGAATGTTCTCAATAAGTATTATATCCCTTCTATAGGAAAGAATGAAAATATCATTTATGGTAGATAGAGTGATACAACCAAAGCCCAATATACACACGTATGGAAATGTCCCAGTGAAACCCATTAATCTCTACAATTAGTATGAATTAATATTTACAATAAAAATTTTAAATCAAAAAATATTTACCCAGTCACAAAATAAGTTTTAAAAATAATGTTATTTAAATACTGAACAGGATTCAAGACAAAAACAGAGTAGCTTGCCCCTCGCCGGGGACATCCAGAAGTAGTCCAGGTTCTTAACAATCTCCACCAGGGGCCCTGCACTCTTCACCTCCAGAGACAGACCTCCCATCTCTTCACCTTCGACTGCAGAAATGGAACCAGATGGCTGGGGATGGACAGCTGGCCATACACCACACTGCTGGGCAGTGAGTGAGTCTCATCAGCATCTAGAAATCTCTGTCCCACGTGGCTACGAACACCAGCACACAGCAGTGGCTCTAGGCCTATGGCAGAAGCAGGATGGCACCCCTGCCTACAAGGACTACGTAGGAGAACAACAGGATTCCTGGACTGGCACAGGCCCTAAGAAGGATGTGGACAGTCCTGTCCACAATGATGTGTTTTCCAGAAGGTGGACACAGCCCTGAGCCATGGGCACCCAACAGGAGAGGCTCACTCACACTGTGCTTGGACAGACTTGTAGGTGGCAGCAAACTCATTTCACATTGATGTCTCTAGGGGTTCAAAGTGCTACAGGAGCAGGGAAGGGAGCACCTGAACCTGATGACAGGCTGGGAAAGGCCTGATAGGGAGGTGTCTTGGATGGGCCACAATAGAATAAGGTCCCAGGCAGCATGAGATCAGAATGTTCCAGACCTGGAGAAGCCACCTGTGATGACAGAAGCTAAGATGCAAGCAGCACATGGGCAAGCAGGGGGATCTGTGTGAATGGTCAGGCTGAGGCTGTGAGGGCAATGCATACCATGACCAGCACGGGTGCTGAATTTACTCAGAGTGCTTTCTATAGTTGTCCTGGAATTCTACATGGAACAGATATCCCCTTGCAGAAGAAAATGTAAATAGGGAAGGGAGGAGGGATGAAGGGAGGGCTGGGGTATGGGGAAAAAATGAGAACCAAGACCTGTCATGTAAGGGTACAAGATCCCAATGATGAATGTAACTGTACTGTATACGTAAAAGTAACAATAAACTCAATGAGGGAAAAAGAAAAGGAAAATGTTTCTTTCCAGCAGTTCTCGGTCATCCACAGTTCAATGGACATCAAGTTTCCAGGAGGTGGGGACCAAACGCATGTGCCCTGGCCTCTGCCAGGAGACTTCTGCCACTGCTAAGGGCCTCCGTTAGGGTACAAGTGAGGGAGAAGCAAAGAGGGATGATTTTCTTAAATTAATCTCATCCTCAACAACCTTATCACCACCATCACATGGATCTATAAATAAAATATTTTATTTATTTTTTATTACAAAGGTATTTACCGAGACATCTCCTGCCCTTTCCATGGTCCAGGAGGTACATTTGAAAAACATGCTGGAGGCAGAATGAAAAGACCTAGGGATCAAGACAGACAAGCACATCAACATGAAGACTGAGCACTAAAGGAAGAACTGTTAGAAATAGGTTTAAATCTCCTCCCCTGTTCTCTGCTTTCTGACAAGATATCAAGTCCTCATATATTCCAGGTTGTCATTGTTACAGCCCACAGCTCACAGTGATGCACAGAAACCCAGTACGTCCCTGACCTATGGAGGCATAGCCCAGTGAGGTCTGAAGTTCTGGGACACTGGGACTTGCAGATGACACACAGCAGCCACTAGAAGCACATCTGACGATAACCGAATGGGCACTGGTTCTATGATTTGACAAACTTGGGCAAAGAGCATAGTTCACTGTGACTTGATTGTAAGCCTTATTTTACACGAATAGAATGCTTTGTTTCCTGTTTGGTCAGCCTTGAAGAGCAACCTGACAAGCAACAGTGTGGTAGAATACAATTTCAGTATTTTTTCAACCAGCAAGAGATAAATACATTTTTGAAGGAGTTTTTATTTGCTTCTGATATTGGAATTGAAAAGGACATGGTCTGGCTGTTTGCAAAACACATTCTTCACTGTTTTCTCAAGGGACAAGTCTATACACAGTCTTAAGGGCCTTTCAACTTATTGCTAGAACCATCCCCTCACAGGGCACTTGTCCCAACTCCCGTCCCTTTTGAAATTTTCCACTTTGCTTGGTACAGCAGAAACCTGCCTCACTGGGCTCTACTTTACTCTCTGAGGAGTCAGCAGAACCAGAAGGTCCAAAAGGTCCACACCTCATTCCGTTTGAGGTTGTCACATGAAACACTGATACATTCATCTGCAATAAATCTAGTTACAATGCAATCTATGCAGAGCAGGGAAAGAGAGACATTGCCATGTAACATTTTGCCTTTCTGTGAAAACCATTTTTCATTCATATGCAGAATTCTGGCTTTGTAGGTAGCTCTCTACCTGTCCTTGAATAATTGTAACATAATAGCAGCAGCCCTTTGTGTGGTAGAGATGTCTATGATTCCTGACATTGCCTGAGGAAACATCTTTAAGAGCAGATTCATCTTTACTTCTATAAAACAGGGTCCTTTCACAAAGGGTGAGTTTCTTCAAAGGCCTACAATGAAAGCCAGGAGTTCTAAGATAATCAATCTTATTTCACTTGCATGACTATGTATAAGGAAGTATACTTATGTATGCTCCATGCAAATTTAACATGCCTTGCACATTTGCCCCACCTTCTTTTCTTCTTAGAAGTAATCAGGGCTGGGGATTTAGCTCAGTGGTTCTGCCATCTGCCTTGCAAGCACAAGGTCCTGAGTTCGATCCCCATTTCCTTCTTGGAAGTAATCACTCCTCTAAGAGAGCATATATCCTTCTGCATCGATTAGCCTCAGTGGGAAGTAGGAATAAAATTTGCAATTCGTACAGTTACCAGCTGTACAAGGGAGCTGCAAAGGACTGTGTAAGGCTGGACTAAAGGGCTAAGAAGAGGAAGGAGTCCCAAAATCTGGAAGAATATGTTATGAATTGCTAGCTTATTGGAAAGAACACTGACGTTCACCAGGGGACCCATAAAGTACCTTGCCTTTTCTCCCTCTCCAGTTTCTTGCTGCCTGCTCCAATGGTTAAACCCAAAGGCATGTCAGAAAGCTCAAGCACCCTGCTGATGTGGACTACACAGGCTGGCATCCAGGGCAGAAGGCAACAAAAGACGGAACACAGATCTGGAGGGGCAAACAGAAGAGAAAATCCAGACACTGGACTTACTGGACAAAGACTTTAAATCAGCTACTTTAATTATGTTCAAAGAACTAAAGGAAACCATGATAAAGAACTAACAGAAAGTAGAAGAAAGATGTCTTGTCAAATAGGGAATACCAATGAATGAATTACACATACATGCAAAACAGAAAATCTAGAGAAGTATCATACTGAAATAAAAGAAATTTACCAGCAGACTTAAGCAGGCTGAAGAAAGAACCAGTGAACATGAAGTGAATTGAGATGATCTAGTTTGAGGAGCAGAAAGAAAAAAGAGTGAAGAAAAATGAACATAGTCTTAGACACTTATGGAACAGCATGAAATATACAAATCTACATAAATAAGAGTCTCAGAAGGAAAAAAGAGAGAGGAAGGGGCACAGAAATACTTAAATGGCCAGAAACTTTTCAAATTCATTGAAAAACAGTCTCCAGGTCTGGAACATTCTGACTTCATTCTGTTCTTGCTGCCTGGGACCTTATTCTATTGTGGCCCACCCAAGACACCTCCCTGTCAGGCCTTTCCCAGCCTGTCATCAGGTTCTGGCGCTCCCTTTCCTGGGTCCTGTAGCACTTGGATGCCCTAAATAAGCCACAGTTACCTCTACCTAGACTTCTACTGGGGGATAGAACTGTATCTTCTATAGGCCAGTGAGAAAGCCCCCCCAAACTTCCCTAGCTATTTGTTCTCCTGGACACTGTGCTGATTTATACTCCAAATTTACACTGCCAATTTATGTATCCAAGGAAGTGAGCAGATCCTGTTACTCCACATACTCACTATATATATATATATATATATATATGTATATTACTGGACATTTTTATTTTTGCTAATTTGATAGTTGAATTTGCAGGCTCTTATTGCTAGTTAAGACTGAATATCTACTTATATTTATTAGCTATTTGGCTTTCCTCTTCTCCGCATTACCATTTTGTATACTTTGCCCAATTGTCTACTGGACACTAAATTTGAAAAAAAAAAAAGATACTGATCTGTCTATTTTGTGCAATGCAAATGCTTTTCCTGCTTTATGGCCTCTTAATGATGCAGATTTTTGATATGTAATGGAGTCCTAATTATGTATTTTCTACATTTTCTGCTAAAGTTGTGATAGGTTTTTGTTTTTTCTTTTCCTTCAGCAAATATAGGTTAACCTTCCCTATATCTCCTACAATTGAGCTTTGTGGGAGTAAGACCTAATTTTATTTTTACTCATAAATGGTTAGCCAAGGGTCCTAGCACAATCAGTAACACACCTTGTCATACCCAGCTGATTTGTAATGCCCTCAAACTGCCATATATTCATGCTTAAAGGTCTCAAATTTGTTTCATTGGTCTATTTCTTTGTTCCTGGGCCAATAATACATTGTGTTAATTATAACAACTTTGTAATGTATTTGATAGAGAATCTGTCACTTTGTTCTTCTACTTTAAAATTGCTTGGCTGACATGCCTTTCTTCAATTCTGGAAAGTTCACAGACATGACCTTTCCAACTATTTTTTCTAGCATACTCTACATTCCTTTCTTCCTGGTTTCCTCCAGACTTTCTTATTCTTTCCTCTAGAATTCCTAGTGTTCTTTCTCTCTCTCTCTCCTCCCCCGCTCCCTCCCTCCCTCACAGAACTATTTTCTAATTCACTAATTCTATATATAACTATGTCTAATCTGAGTTTTGTTTTATTTTTAACTTCAATGACCATATCCATTGACTTTTGGAATTTGTTTAAACCTTCCAATTCTTTTTGTATTGCCTTCTTTAATTATGGCTCGATTTCTTCTTTAATCATTTTTTAAAATGTAAAAGACTTTATGGTGAACTTTAGATCTATTATTTTAGACTTTGGATATTTAGATTTTCTTCTTAGCTATATTTCCTGATTTCCCTCTTGATATGGATTTATGTGGCTTCTATTTTTGCTGTGATTATATCCTCAGTGAGGATGTCTATCTCCAAATCCTGTAAATATTAGATGGTAGAAGTATGCCTACAAGATAATTGCATTTACCTCTATCCAAATCCTTAAGGACACCAATGGCCTGGATCTATTTTAATGCTGATGCTTTGGCTTTTGGTTCCTGTACCACTGAGATAGAATAAGCCTATATCTGACATTGCTTGGTGTTTTAATTTCTAATCTTTTAAGGTACAGTCAGCTCTTCAAGTATCTGAACTTTATGTAAGGGCCTGAATCTTAGCTACCATATATCTATTAAATATCTCTCAATATTGGAATTCCAGTCTCTAGGCCCCAGGCCCATTATAGGGTCCAAATAAAGACTAAGACCCTGTAATAATCACTAAGGAATGTGTTTATACCTACTGCTCTGCTTTTGTTTTCTCTCATTTATCATACGGTTAACTATACATTTAATTTTTCATGACCATTTAACCCTACTTCTCTGCAGCAGGAGGGGGATATTTCTACATTAGCTCATTCTAACATGTCTGTAGGTTCTTCTAGTCACCCAAACCCCCTTAGCATTTTTGGAACCTGGAACTTAAATAACACAGCTAATATTTTAAAGTCATTTTCTGGTAGCTGTATTCCAGAAAAAGCACTCATGCTAGGTGTTGTCAGAAGCAAAATCAGATGATTTCAGTGGCCTATTAACTCCTCCATGGGGTTTATCTTTGGCCATACTGAAATAGCCAAACTCCTCTCTTGGCTGGCTTATTCCCTCACAGTTTGAATAAATCAGGCTGTATATTTGCCAAGAACCTCTCATTGGGCCAGGAATGAAGTCCACAAAGACCCAAGATACCACTGCCAATCTTTTCGAAGTGTGTGACAGGTCGCAGCACACTAGTGGTGACTGAAACTGGCACACTGACTGCAAGTAACAGGCCAGCCAAAAGGAGAGGAGAGCTTGAGCCCTTGGCTCCCTGTGGATCACTGGCAGACCAATCACTGAATGCCATGGAGTTCTTCTTCCTTATCTGTAAAGTGATGGGCTTAGACTGATGAATTAGGGGAAAATGCATGGAGCACAATTTGATTCTTACAAAATGATCAATGAAACTCCTGCTGATCTCTCCATGATTGTGTTTTCTCCTCTCAGGACATAAGAATAAAGGACTGACAAGAACTAGCTGTTGCTGAACTAGACACAAAGAATGAACTACTGTTCATTGATCTTTGCTAATCTATGTCAGAATGCTACATTTTCATTCCTGGCCTCTGTCCCTGGCTTGACACTCAGACCTGCTGCACCAAATGCAGGCAGCATTTCTCTGCAGCACAAGAGAAA